TGCAACCGAAAATCTCTTTATGTGTACAATTGTTAAGTTTTAATAAATTTTTCGATTTTTATTATTTTTTGAGTTTACTAGTTTCCATTATCTTTACCATACCTATTAGAATAGTTACCATCTCTATTAGAATAGTTATCATACCCATTAGAAAAGTGACCATACAGATTAGAATAGTGACCATGCCTATTAGGATAGTTACCATACCTATAAGACAAGTTAGCATACCTATTAGAAACATAGAAATTGCAATAATTTGCAATAAACATGTCATCTCATCGTTTTCTCGTTTTCTCGCACATTTGCGACTTTTCCTCTGAAAATGGTCCCCTGGAGGCTGAATTTGAAGAGGGTGACAAACGAGACACCACACTTCTTCTTGTGTCTCATATAGAAACACTTTTTTCCCGTTTTTCGCGGCACTATTCAAACATTTTCTTTTTTTGACTCGTGAAATATGAAAGTCAAGACATGAACAAAAAAGAAATGGTGTGGTTTTTCTGTCAACGAGCAGATTATATAATGGTGAGTGAAATAAAGGGAATGTGGGCGATAGAAAAAATGAGCTAAAAATCATACTAAAAAACTTTGAGCCAATTACCTCGGTTCCTGTCGAAGATATTAAAAAGTTGTCAACTAATAAAATGTTTATCATGATATCACAAACATCAATATCAGTTGACACAATTTAAATATCTTGCATGGGAGCCAAGATAAATTGGCTCAAACATGACGATGTGGGGGCTCTTCTATTACAGGTCTTACTGTACTAGATGCGGACTTGTGGCACATTACTATCAAGCTTCAGCTTTCTTCGATTTCTGCAGATTTTCATTCTCTGAGCTCCATTCCGAAATTCATCATTCACTTCCCCTCTGCGAAAATCTGTGCTCCATTTGGGAATGTGCAAATTCAAGTCGTCGGGGTTCCAAAAGATCTTCTAAAGTGATAACAAAGTGTGTGTCTGTCTTGTCGCCGCATCTACACCACAGACGGGGGAGAAAAGAAGAAGACGTCGTCGCAAAACTGAAGGGATTACCCAAAATGTTCTCTCCTTTTACCCGCAAAAAGAGGAGAAGACACGGATTAGCGCACCCACATGGAGTATTGCCACCCGTGGGGTCCTTACTGAAAAATTTTAAAACATGGAAAAGATTATGATGGTGATGGTAATGATGATGTTGAAATGAAAAATGTTTGAAGTGATGAGCAATATTTACTGGGATTTCACATGGTTGAGGAATGAGGACTCACATTTTCTTGTTCAGAATTATTTTATTGAATTACAGACAGGGGCGTTTTTTTTCTGAATTTTTCAGTTCATGAATGTTTTTTTAAATTAATTTTCCAGGTGTTCGTTTTTTTTTCAAAATCTTAATTGTGAGGATTCTTGAATAATTTTAGTTCCAAAGTTGAACCAACGGAATTTTCTCAATTCAAATCATAACTGAAGTCTTCGAATCTGAAAAAGAAGCTGTGGATTCCCAGAAAAGATTCCCAGAAAATCTTAATTTCTAGAATTCTCTAAGAATTCTATGCAAGCTTTTTTGTTTCTCGTAAGTTTGAATTACTGTATGAATCTTCGAACTTATTACCTTCTGAAGTCCGAATCACTAAATTTCTAGATTTCTAGGTTTTGGCATTTCTGGTTTCTGAATTATTCAACTTCAAGCCTTCCAAGCCCAGAATTCAACTCTGACAAATGAGAAATTTCGGGGATACCAAATTTCCATCTACCCAAAAATCTTCAGCACCATCTCTAGTTAACTTTCTGGATGGGTGTAAGTGTGTGAAAGATTGCGTAAAACACCCATAAATCACCCTCACCCGTTGTAAATGCCACCAGATTTGGGGTATGTCTCAATGTGTGCTCTTCAGAAACAAAACTAGATGTAATCTTTTGAAGAAGTGTGCAAATTGATACATCTATGTCTGTGTCAACCCCCCTCCTTTAGAGGGGAAGATCACTATCTGATGGGGGAGAAGGAAGGAATGAAGGTCCAAATTTGAAATGGATTAGTTTTATGACTTTATGAATTTCTGACTGTGTGTTCGTTTGAAAAAAAAATCATTTAGCCCATGAGTTTAGGACTTTTGGGTGAGCTGCCCACCTCTAGATTCTATGCCAGTTTGAAGTTTGCCGGTTTGTCCGAATGCCCAAGTCTATCCCTTACTCTTTTTTGTTCTCCAGTACACTAGATACATGTGTTCCTTCTTCCATTTTACAATCCAGGATGAACAAAAAGACCCAATATTTAAGTACCTTATTATCATAACAACAATACCACGAGTGATTTGAGAAGGTACTAACCGAACCGTGTTTTACCACAACCACCATTTTCTTCTTTTCTTGCCGCCGTGTCGCAGTTTTTACGATGATCTTCTTCTGTTCGTGTGTTGATTTGAAAAGAAAATTTTGGGGGAAAGAGGGAGAGGTACAGTAATCCCAACGAAATGATTATTTGGACAGAAATGGTTATGAGAGTGTAATTTTGAGAAGTAAAGTTTGGTTTTTGGTTTTTAGAGTTAAAATATTTTCTAACTGGGTTTTCTTGTTAGAAATATATTGGATGTATTGACAATGAAGATTTTGAACAGGAAAATGCATTTACAGCGAAAAAGGAAGCCCTATAGTAGATGAAAGAATTTGGCAATTTAAGAAATCGGCAATTTCAAATTCACAGCCACCGTAAAACCTGTACCAGAAGGGCTCCCACACTGTTAAGTTCAAGCTAAATTTTCTTGGCTTCTTTGCAAGATGTCGAAAATGGGTCAACTGATTAATTAACTATCATAATATTATCAATATTTTATCAGTTGACAAAATTTTGGTATCTTTCACGGGAATCTTGATAATTGAGCTCAAAGTTGACGGTTTCAGTGGACTCCTATTAGAGGAAATACGGTAAACGTTCAGAGAGAAGTAAAGTTCGTTACTGATCAAAACCAAAACTTGTAAAATAATTTTTTCAGACCTTAAACAACTTTTCCAATATATTAATTTTTGCTATGGGAAGGGATTGTAGAACTTCTACTAAATGTGCACAAGCTGAAAAACACTTTCCTATCAAATAACTTGATATCAGAAATTATACTAATTACCCCTGTCACTTCTAATCTTTTCTTCCCCTGCCTTCTCAGATCATAAACCATTATCTGTGAGAACCATAAAAGAGAGCCATAAAAACGCGAGGCCCTATCTCCATCGCCCCCAAGAATGTGTGATGATAATTAGTCAATGGAGATTACTGTATTTCTCCCTCTGTGTTTTCTATTTCTGTCTTTTGTTCTATTTTACAATCAGCCTGTAGATGTTCGATTGGGTTAGTGAATGCGTTTTTTGGGTGTCATAAATTATCTTTAAGGTTTTTGGAAATCTAGTAGTACTCGAGCAGTAATTGTGTAAAGAGTTTCACATTAACGGCTTGTGAGTAGGTATAACGTTAATTCTTTTAAACTTCTCAAATCGCAAAAATTGAATTTATAAAAAATCACATAGACGACATAAACTTTCTTACTGATAAACTTTATAAAATGGACTCACTGCAATTAGAGACTCAGCAGACCAGAAATATGGCTTACCGTATTTTCCTTGATAGACGCATACCTAACTTGTACGCACACTTTGAGCTCAATTATCTCGGCTCCTACAAAAAATATCAAAAAGTTTTCAACTGGTAAACTTTTTATCATAATGTGATCAATATTTTATCAGTTGACAGATTTTTGATATCTCTCATAGAAACCGAGAAAAATTGGCTCAAACTAAGAGTTAGGGGACTCCTTCTACTACAGGCTTTACGGTACGGTATCTTAAGCAGCTGAACTAATTTTTATGAAAATTAAACTTTTAATGAACATTAAAAAAATCAAATAAGAATTGCATAGAGCTGGACTTATAGAAATGCACCAGAGGTACGTCAGCTATATAAAAACTTCACAAAATTACAAAACTACGAAACTTGAAGTCTCCGGTGATCCTAATTAATTTCAATTTCAAAATCATGATGCTTCATTTTTCTGAACAAAGTTACTCTGAAACATGAATCATCCTTCCATCTTATGCTTATTTTCTTCAAAAGAAGCCGATTTAAACCCCGCCCACATTTCAGGGATTCTCACCAATTGGCCGACTCCGCCCCATCTCGACACCCTAGCTGACAAAACGGTGCCGCGGGTGTGTTGGAAATTTCGGAATTCACACTTCTATTCTGAAGACAAGACGTCTTCTTCTAGATTCTGGAGTGTGGGCTTCCGTGATTTATTAGTGTTCACCGATACTTTTGACTTATCTGCTGAAATTCTTCTAGAGGACACAGATGTCAAAACGGGCGGCGACGTCGGATGAGGAGGATGGGAAGTCGATGAAGGTAGGTGTGAAAATCTCGAAGCTTCTGAAAATTTGATATCTTCAAATTTCACATAGCTCAAAATGAGCAATTCTACAGTATCCTGCTCTCGAAAAAGGCAAAAGCTGAACACTATGGTGGTGAAGTGTGACATGTCATCTCATCGTTTTCTCGTTTTTATTTGAGAACTTCAAGTTTCTGAAATTTTGTTGACTTGGAAGGTCTTGAAAGGTGCTCCAATCAAATCCTCTCTGATAGAAGGTATACTGATCGATATTCTAGTTTTTAAATTTTCAGAAACCCCGATTCTCAATAGCTAATATTCTTGATGAGGTGGATGATGAAGAGGAGGATGTTGATGTTGAGGATGACGTGGAAATTGAAATCAAAACTCCCGAGAAGACGTGTAGAGGAAGACCAAAGATAGGAGCTAAAATGAAGGTGAGCAGTTTGGAATGGAAAAAGCTTAACAGTTATAAAATTTCAGGAAGGTAACATTCCGATAGAATGCAAACTGGAAGGATCAGAGTTATGGGCAAAGTTTTTCGATTTGGGAACCGAGATGATTATTACAAAGAGTGGAAGGTAAGAAATAACGAAAGCAAAACCAAATTCGATAGGTTTAGAATTTTCGGTAGATTATTGTGAACCAGGAATTCGTAGATAAGGGCATAAGCTCAATTATCTCAATTTCTATAAAATATATCAAAAAGTGGGCAACTGATAAATTATTTGTTACAATATCACCTACATTTCATCAGTTGGCAAATTTTCGTTATCTCTTATAGAAATTTAGATAATTGAGCTCAAAGTTGAACTTTGATTGTTTAACGTTTGTACTCTCTCTCTATTAGATCTCGTTTCCTAAACCAATATTTTTCATCGAGCTTTTTCGAAATCTGTAAAACGTCATCGTGTTTTCTGCCTTCTGATTTTTTCATGCTCTTCCCTAATTTCCAAAATTGACTCGACTCCTCTCATTTTTTCACCCCCGAACCACTCACCACTCAATTTTCACCCATTTTGTCGACTATCCATCCCCTCCCTTTCAAACTGATTACTTTTTGCTCCACTTTGTCTATTTTTTCGGGGTGTTGTTGTAAGACTCTCCATGAAAAGACATGAGTTAATTTGTTAGAAAACGTCAAGGGCTTCTTGTTTCAAAAATAGAGAGAGAGAGGAGTGGAACCCCATAAAGAGAGTTGTCACTTACACTGATGAGCTTTTTGCTTCTTTTGGAATTTTTGGAATTTTGGAGGAGAATGGGGGTTAGGAATTATGAACCCTCATCATAACAAAACGTTCTCGACGAAAGAAATATGATATTATAGAGAAAGATCTTCAACAGGATAATGTTATTCGATCGGTCTGAAATAACAAAAAAAAAAAAATGTTTTTATCCTTTTAAACAACAGTGAAATCTGTAATAGAAGGGCCTCCTAGCTTCGAGCCAATCCATCTCGGTTCCTGTCAAAGATGGTTAATAGGTAAATTTTTTATCATAATATCACCAAGTTTTTATCAGTTGACACATTTTCGATATCGTACATAAGAGCCAAAAAAAATTAGCTCAATCTTGGAAGTCTGGGAGCCCTTCTATAACAGGTTTTTCGGTAAATATGATCCGAGTGTAAGGAAACGGTGATTAGGCTCATACTACCTTTCTCTTTTCTGAATCTCAATCGTTCTAATTTGCATTTCCTCAGAAAATTTGTCGTTCGCATCACCCTCTCTCTCTCCAATACGTATCACTTTTTTCAAACACCCAATTTTCAATCCGTCACATTCTACCGTAATCCCTTCCCTTTCCGCCGCCAACCCGCCTCGTCACGTCCAATCGATTTACATGTCTATCACTTGAATATGGTGTATTTCTAATTGGTTTACGTCTTCCTTCCATCTTGAATGTCTTTTTTGCGGCTGATGGTGTCCCGGGTCTTCTGAATACATAAAAATAGCACATTCATCAATTCAGAAAACACCCGCGATGTCGTCTTCTGAATTACTAAAAGAGTGGTAGCGTCGTGATTGAATTCTGTTTGATGGGTCACTTGGGACACTGGGAATACGGTAGAAACGGGCGAAGAGAGAAGACTAATTGATTGTTGAGTGATTGTTGGGTGTTCGAGATAATGGGAAAAAAATGGTGAGAGAGAGAGAGAGAAAAAAAGAAAGTTAAACGGTTTGACGAAATGGATTACGGTAGTAGTGGGAATGTAACGAAACTTGAACAAAAATTCTGTAGATACCTATTAGGGTTGATTATGTTTCAGTTATTAAGGTTTTTGTATTAGATATCTGAAAAGAAATAATTTTCAACTAATAAAGTATTTTTTTTTTGGGAAATCAACGACTTTTCAATTCAATTTTTATTCCAGGAGGATGTTCCCAACGGTCAAGGTATCCTTCTCCAACGTCCTCTTAGATACTCTATACTACATTTTCCTTGATGTGGTACCAGTGGACTCAAAACGGTAATTTTCAGAAAATCCTAAAATAAAAAAAAATCTTTTTCATTTCAGATACCGTTACATCTACAACAAATCAGCATGGTTGACTGCTGGAAAAGCGGAGCCGGTGCCCAAGAATCGGTACTACCTTCACCCGGATTCTCCATTCACAGGAGATCAGCTTCTGAAGCATGTGATATCGTTTGAGAAGACAAAATTGACAAACAACGAGGTGGATAAGACGGGACATGTGAGTTTGAAACAGTTTAGAAATACCCCAAACTTTTTTTTTTGATTCCTCTCAAAGATAACAAAAATGTGTCAGCTGATAATTTGTTTATCATAATATCACAAACATTTTATCAGTTGACACTTTTTTTTATATATTGCATAGGAGCCAAGAAAAATAAGCTCAAACTTGACAGTGCTCTTTTATTACAGGTTTTACGTATCTTTATCAAATACAATTTATTTTTCAGCTGATCCTCAACTCTATGCACAAGTACCAACCACGTATTCACATCGTCCAACGACCAAAATCCAGTCCACTGGACCACAATAAATTTGTGATGGCTGACGAGCAACACTGCACCTATACATTCCCTGAAACGCAATTCATGGCAGTCACTGCTTACCAAAATCAATTGGTAATTTTGAAAAACGATGAAAAAGCAATAATAGAAATTGTTTCAGATAACGAAGCTGAAAATCGAGAAGAATCCATTCGCCAAGGGATTTCGGGATCCAACTGGCAGGTCTCCAGATGAAATGTACGTTTTTTTAGGATTCAGAAAACGATATTTGAAAATTGATAAGTAGTAAAATTACGGAAACAATTGTAATAGAAGAGACCCCCTAACCTTTAATTTTTGAGCCAATTTATCTCGGTTCCGTGTCAAAGATATGAAAAGCCTGCCAGTTGATAAATTATTTAGCGTAGTATCAAAAACTTTTTATCAGTTGACACATTTTTGCTATCTTGCATAATGGGACCAAGAAAAATGAGCTCCACCTTGACAGTGTGAAGACCCTTCTATTACAGGTTTTACGGTATTACTAGGATATACAAACAAAATATGATTTTTCAGGGAACGCAATCCGGGAGACCTCTCTCCCATGATGCTCTCCAACTTCTACCACTCATCCGCCCTTCAACAAGCCATGTTCCAGCAGTGTCTCTCGAAAATCCAAATGAATCCATCCATCATGATGCTATATCAGAACGTGTTCCCCGGTGCACCAGGCATGCCCACCCCAGTGACACCTACTGTATCAAACCCCGAGATTTCTTTAAAGTAAGTGAATACATCTTTCAAGTAGGTCATTTAGATACAAATTTGTTTTCAGGTCAGAATGATTTGAGTCGTCTACGTGTACATAAATCTCATTTTTCCATTCTTCTTCCCGGCAAATATTTTTTCTATAACTTCTTCTTTTCTTGTGTAATATTATTTTTTCGAGTGTGTCACATTTTCCAGTCGCTTTCCTAAAAAAAAACATTTTGGTAATTTTTCTATGATATCCGGTTGAATAAAAAATTGATTTTGGCTTTATTGGGTGAAATTTCTAATGAGAAAAAAAATTAAAATTATTATTGCACGTATTTGTACTCGATTAAGGGGGGAGGGCGGGATTTAATTAATTAATTGACCTATACAAAATGAAAGTTTCTGAACCTACGAGAGCCATGAAGGAGACAAAACGACCTCAGCTGCAATAAGCTTGGACTCTACCAATGGCGACAAGGCATATGGGGACAAGACGACGGCGAACAGTGCCTGTGGAGACAGGATGATTGGAGAGAGGACGAATGGAGAGAGGATCAGTGGAGATCCGACCATAGGAGTCAGGATAAGAGGATTCAAAGCGAATGGAGACAAAATGAGTGGGGAGAAGACTTGTGGGGAGAGGATCAGAGGAGACAGGAGGAGTGGAGACAGAATGACTGGATTGAAGACTCCTGGTACAAGAATGAGCGGATGGAGGACCAGTGGCGAGAGGACGATTGGAGAGAACACCAATGGATTGAGAATCAGTGGAGAGAGAACACGAGGAGATAAGACGAGTGGAACGAACACCCAGGGAGATAGGATGATGGGTCCGAGGACGGCTGGGGAGAGGGTGATTGGGGAGAGGACGAGTGGGGAGAGAACGATGAATTTGTTGGAGAGTGGGACGGAAGCGAAGGTGAGTGGCGTGAGGATGAATGGAGATCCGACGATGTCAGCACGACGAGCAACCTTGAATTTCTCGGCTTCGGCGAGGGCACGGATGCTGGAAAAGGGCGAAAATTGATGAATGTTAAAAAAGGAGTGGAAAACGTTCAGTTTTGCTAGTTTTTACCGTAAAAAAATTAAATAGGCGGGCCCGCTAACTTATAGGACCCGCTAACTTATAGAGTCAATTTTTTTACGGTTCCTGTCAGAGATATCAAAAAGTTGTCAATTGACAAAATATATTT